ATTGATCAGTTGCAGTGATATTGCATCCAGCAGTAATGAGCAACTGTAAACACTGTGCATGGCCTAGGAAGAATGTAGTAGTTTTTAAGTATTTTAGTAAATCAATAAAGCAATGTATTAGTCTTAGACAAGCAGTGATAATTATCAGGTAAATTCTTTATAGATTATAATCTGTTTTAGCTGGATAAATATCGGTAAATTTTTAATTATTGATTTTAAACTTACTTGAGTCTTATGGCAGACTAATTTGAGCACATTTTTCACTTTTTAATTTACACCATGGGTTCCTGTTCACACTCCAGAGGTGCAAATTAAGGTGTGAACATGATGCTTGTTACAGAAAAAAATAATAAAACACCAACTCTAATATATTAAATGCTGTGCATGCATGCTTGCATTAGCTCTCTTAATAGTTGAATTACCTCCTTCAGCAGCAAAATGAGCTGGAGTCCACCCAACATTAGTGAGTGAGTCCGGAAAAGCTCCTGCTTGCAGCAATACGTACACTATCTTCTTATGTCCCGAGGCACACGCCACGTGCAGTGGCGTCCTACTCCCCCAGTGTATATCAGGCTCATTTGGGTCCAGTCCAGCCTTCAGCCCTTCTTCTAGCGAGGGGAGATCTCCCACAGATGAAGCTTCATGCAACTGAGTCATTGTTTCAAGGGTGGGGCTGGAGCTGCAAGTTGTGCGCATGCGCATTAGCTATTGCCGGGATATTTTTCTGAGCATGCGCAGATAGTAGTGATGCCAAGTAGCGGGAATAAAGATTAAAAAGTGAAACAGAACAATAATGTATTTATAGCAATAAGAATATAAAAATATGATGCTTTGTAAATAAAATAACATTGTGAGTATCAAAAAATGAAGCAGCGATTTACATTGTGTGTGTATAGTATTAAGTGTTAATTTTATGAAGAGAAATTTGAGTATAACATGAAAGAGTCCAAGTAGATTTGAACTATCTCAAATATTCCTTTGTATTGTTCCTAAAATTAAAAAAAATAACAAAAATATGTAAGTTGTACTTCAATAAATAAAACAATACAATTAATAATTGATACTTACAACAGTCTGTACACTGCCTGGTTTTTGAATACGTTGACTTTTGAGTACTTGAAATACATCAATGACTCCTTCAGTTTTACATTTATTAATTGTTGTAGCAGCTGCACAGAACATTGCTGAACGACCAACTGTATCACTACAATTAAAAATAAAATAAAAAATAATGCTAAATCATGGTTCTTTCTCACCTGCAGTGTACTACAATGCTTGTGTTTCCACTTCTTCTTTGTGTTTTATTCATTTCTTCTAATATCATTAGTATAGCCTGGTGACAAGTCACTTCTCCATTTGGCTCCCAGCCAGTTATCTGATACTGTACTACCTTATGCCTGGAGCCACCCTAAAATTAGTAATAATTACACATCATTATTTACCGTATACCATAAATTTTATGCGACAAAATTTTTTTGCGAATTTAGCAATTTTTGTTTCATTGCAAAATTAAAATCAAAAAATTCTGCAGCTCCATTGCCACATGATGCAGTTTGTAAGCCGTTTGCAAAAATTTATTTCGTGAAATCTTAGAAATGCAGGATTTGCAAAAAAAGGTTTGTCACATAAATTTCATAGTATACGGCATGCAATCATTATAAGAGTTCTTAATGTTATGAGCACAATTATGATAGATGTTAGTCCTACTTTCATCTTGTTTTTGATTTCAATGGTTCTCTCAGTATACAAGTCATAGAGCTCTTCATTCAATAACTTAATGCTGTACTCTCCAAATATCACTTCAGTTGCTTCTGTAGCCCAGTACTTTATAACAGACCTCCTGAAATAAAATACTAATGATAAAAATT